TTAATAACAGTGCTTTTAGGATGTCGATTTGACATTCCTCCGGTATCAGTCACCAAAGCCCCCATCGTCGTATTACAAATTAATACAAAAGAGAATGGTAATAATAGGAAAAGTCGTAAATTGTGGGTGGCAAAGTCATTTTGCTCCTAAAAATGAACCAATCCATATTTTCACATGAAACAAAAAACATAATACTTAGAAGACATGGTTGCAACCAAAAAACAAGGTTTTATGAAAATCCGCTGACGGAATTATTCCACAGGGTGTTTCAAAGTTAGGATAAAAAACCACTTTTTGATTAACCCTGTATAATAAGTCAAATACAAAATTTTCTCAAAACTCACTATACTAAATTAAAATTTATAAATTTTTACACAGTGTGCTAAAAAAATCATCGAAATAGGGCTAAAAATAATAAAACTGAAATACTTTGAATTTGACCAAAATTTTCACATTCAAGCTCGAAATATGAATAAAAGTACACAAAGTAATTACATGAATTCTAAATAAATCCGTAGAATTATTAAAAGTTTGTACAGAAAAATAATTATTAGTTAACAATTTGTAAAATGTATTATTAATTGTGTATATTTATCTAGAATCTATTTATTTACCATATACAAATTACATTAAGAAAACAATTGTATTGATGCAAATTATAGAAATCTAAACCTATAACATCAAAACCACATTATGCTAATTGTTTATATAGTTATATCAGATTTATCGCTAAAGCAACTTTTTTGTCGATAGTTGTCTGCAGGCACGTTAAATTTATGGTAATTTTATTGGTGTTAATACACCGATTATTATCTAAACAAAATGCAAAATGTAGTAAGTTTGCTCACACCATTGTTGTTGTTATTACGAAATTTAAATAATTAGGTAGGTTATTTGTGGGTGATAGTGCTAATCCGAAAAATACATAATTTGTTGACGTCCGTCGTTCAGATAGTTTTATACTTTTAGGAATAAGATATACTTTATGATTTTCATGTAATTTTAAGCGTCACTGTTGAGATTCCAAGAAGGATACCATAGATAATATTTATTATTTATCTAGATAAATGGTTTTGTTTAGACTAGAGATGCACCACTAGGTGTATGTTCCCGTGGTCAGGTACCTAGACCTTTTTTGTATAGGATTATGCAAAAAGCGAAACACGAGTAAATTCTGAATTTCATATCAGGGTTAGAAGACAGAAACATTTTCACAACAAAAATAAAAGGAAGTATGAGATTAAACTGCTTAAAGAACTGTAAAGCTTTTTTTCAGGAATTATAACGAGATAAAAAAATTTGTATAATAGAATCACAATTTGTCGGTAGCTCACTACAAGTTTAACCTTAATTAGAGAACTGACATAAGAGAGGATAGGTAATACGATATAATAGTAAAAACCAACCTGAAACTGACGGTTTAAGATGTTTTCGACTAAGCCACCTTGTATCTGAATTAATTGTATATTTTTTAAATTGTACTTATGTAAATTGTATTTTTGTTTTAATAAAACTTCTTTATTTTATTCAAAAATAAAAAGTTTCTTGCCATTTGTAAAAGATACATTTATTTAATTAAGGGGAAAGGCGCCAAATGTCGCCTGGCAAAATTTTCAATGTGTTTTAAATGTATCCATTATTTTCGAATCCGGAGAAAACTAATAAATATTTTTGAAAAATTTAAACGCAGATTGAAAGATTACATTATTACTGAGGGCAGAAAGTCCCTGAAAACTTCTACAATGTTTATTTTAATATGTTATGTAACAGGGGTGAAAATAAAATAGAAAGTATAGTATAATTTTTAATTGAAAATATTGCATGCAAAAGAAACTTTTTATTTATTCTAATAAATATTTCATTCTGCCTTTTAAATTTTTCAAAAATGCTTTTTAATACCTTTAATACCTTAAGATTACAACTATTATTAATTACCCTATATAATTACGATTAGAAAACTATTCAAATTTAAAACAAATAGGATCAACTTCGGAATCCGAGTAGTCTTGAGGGTTGAAAATCCATGAATTTTCCTTCGAATACCATTTTTGGCAAATTCATCAATTTCAATAGGCTTTTTCCCTCTCTTTAAGTGTTCGTTTGTGTTTGGGTTAGCTATACCGTGTTTTTTTCTTTCTGATAGGAACTTTGTGGACAATAGTCTTCTCTCTTGGTGAATAGACAGACTTACTGACATTAAGCAACAGTACCGGTGTAAAACTTGATGTTGATGATTAAGCCATCACAAACAATCCAACAAAACAAGCACGAGCGAAAGGTGCGTATATGTTCGTAGGTATATGGAATAAAAATCACTCACGCACTGCATATAATTCGCAAAAGAAATATTCGAGACGCTAATTACTGCCGTAGACGCGGAAACACCGACGAGCCGTAAATTACATGCGATCAAAAACGTACTAAACAAAAAAATTGTTTTCGTTCGTAATAACTTCACCCTTTCAAGTTAAGTTTCGAATATAAACTAAACAGACGAGGCACGTGGCCAAAGCCGGCATCTATACCCATTATAGTATTAAAAATCTGGGGAATTCCATCCTAATTATCTTGAAACGGATAGTACCTTCGGATATGAATACCAGGTTTTCTAGTAAAGTGATTAAACGCGAAGATTAGTATTGAAATATCCAAAGAGACAAGGTATTCTTATTTACAAAATTGTTAATGGTTAAATTATTATTTTTATTAATATAATATAATAACCAACATTAGCCGTGAAAGTTTTAATTGTTTTTTGCTAAATATATTAGTATTAAATTTATTTAATATATATCAATTATCAATAATATATCAATATCAATATTAATAATATATCAATATTATTAATATTGATAAACATTTTGGAAAGGAAAATAAATGTAAAGCGCATTAATTTTAATAAATAAATACCTCAGGAACGCGGTACTAGTGTAATAAGCCGGAACCATGTTTACGGAGATGAAATTTATATCAATGAATTCTGCTTCACTTACTAATAATTGTGCAATGATTTTTATGCGGTGCAAGACGTTATTTTTTATGTAATTTCCATTTAAAATATGCCCGATTTTTAAAAGCCACCGCCATTATTCGCCATTATTTACCATGAAACAACAAGAAATGACAGGAATGACAACTGTTTCTTATGGTCAAAAATGGTAATTTTAACCAGTGTTGCCATAGTTATTCAAAATTATGTTTTCTAATTAATTTCAAATTGGACATTAAAATAACATTTTATTATTACCTATTTTTAACTGAAAATTATACCTTTTTTACAAGGGTCAGGTTAGGTTTGGTTACGTTTCTTTACGTTTATTATCATATTTTCTTATGAAAAATAAAAAATTTGATTTTTAATTATATTCCTACTTTTAACTGAAAATTATACCTTTTTTACAAGGGGCAGGTTAGGTTTGGTTACGTTTCTTTACGTTTATTATCATATTTTCTTATGAAAAATAAAAAAATTGATTTTTAATTATATTACAAAATTTTATTCTTATTACAATTATTGTACTGCTTTTTTACGAGCGTTAAGTTAGGTTAGGTTGGTTTAGTTTTATTGTCATGTTTTCTTGTTGGGTTAGATTTGGTTTATTGGTTTGCATTTTTAATATTAAAATGTAAATGTAATTTTCATTAAATTTTAGGTATTTTAAATGTTAAAACTGGCAACAATGTCAAAAGTACATAAAATTTAACTTCTTGCGCATGGCCGCCATATTGTTTTGAAATATTAAAAATCTTGATTATTTTAAACAATTTTACGCATTTTTTTCATAATTTTACAGTAAAAAATAGTGATATTTAATATGTTTTAGTTACGTTTTTTTTTATTAAGACATTTATATATACTTTTCTTTGCTTTTTATGTAATTTTTTTTTGGTTCATAATACTTTTTTTTTGTATTTTTTCTGATTTTTTGATTATTTGGGCACTTTTAATAGTTTAAAGCAAAGAAAACATTAAAATTTGAGGTTGTTTTCACTTTCTCGGCTAAGTTCACAAAAAATTGGGCATTTTTAAGGCGTTCCGGCTTAGTAAATAATTACCAGGAACGCCTATGATGATACAAATTTTACGACCGTTTTATGACTTTGAGGCACATTTCGTGCTCTCAACAATTTGTGAACGGATTATAATTTTGCTTTGATTTTTTATTAAACAATCGTAAAAAGTGGAAAAAATAATTTTTGTCTATAAAAAGTTTCTTATACAAGAGAAAAAATGGTTTAAATAAAATTAGATCATAAAAAGTTAATTAATTTGCGAGTTTCTATATTAAAATACATAAACAAAAAATCATTATTTTTGCAGTATTTTATAATATCTTTGTGTTTTTTGCATAACGACATGTAACAGAATAACTCAAAATAGTGGTAGTTAGTCAGTTATCAAAGAGCGCTAAATTTCAAACAGATCAACAAAATAGTTTATGTTATTTAATTTGTTTATCCTGGAGAGCGATTATTTAAACAACTGTACTACTTGTCAAAGAAGTCACTCTAGAAGTACCAAATATGCGTCTATGCGTCAAAAATGCGGTTTTTGAGGATCTTTTAAAAAGTTTCTATAAGATTTCTATGAAAAACTTACAATAATTATTATTCAACGTCATATGTGTTTAACTTTTTGAATTCGATGAATAAATGTCTACTTTCGAACATCCGTAGCTTTGTTAATATTAAGTTTACGGTAATAATATTAAACAAATCTTCTTTTTTTATAAGTTTCATTTTATATCTAAACAGTGTTCCCGATAAAATCGAAAAATTTTGACTTATTTGCTAAAAACCGTTTTTTTTAACTTTTTCCACCCTCAGAGGAAAATTATATATTTCCATAGGGCAGATTTTGATCCTTGTGCTAAATCTTAACTACTGTCAAAATTTTAAGCAAATCGATGCAGTTTCTCAAAAACCATTATGTAGTTGTTAAGTTTTAATAAAATATACACCCTTAGTTTTGTGATTATAATCAATACTTTTATACTTACATAATTTATAACATAACCAAGGTTGAAGACGATCAAAGACACCAATACAAGTCCACTCATGTTTCCTCGTTTCACTAAACTTAGAATACAAAACAAACTAAAACAATTTACAAAATTTAAAGTCCAATTTTAGCTTCTTAACCTCGCGAAACATTATCTAAACCTAAACAAAAAAATACGTATACCTAACACGTGCGTGTTTTATCACAAATTCGCCGAAGATAACGAAAAAATAGTCATCTTAGGCCATAATCCTTTGTATTTAAAAATAAGCGGCAATTGCGAACTGCACGCGAACGTTTGAACCAAAGCGTGGTTGTGCACTCACCGACACACGCTTGTGATGCCTACTGTCTGTACTGATATGATAGCCAGTCTGTCTGCCTAGCCGGGCTGGCTTGCACAAAGCCAACTACGATGGGAATAAAAAATGTCGGAAACTTGATTCTTGGGATGGTGGTGAGTACCAGCACGCGCTAAGCTCATTAGGCTGGCTTACTGAAGAAGATTTCATTTACAGGGTGATTGCAAATTATACACGCATATAAGCACTTGATTATATGCAATAAAATTATAGACCGGTGACAAATGAAAAATAATCAAAAAATGTAGTTCTAAATAAAAAATTGTCGTACTCTTTCTGTACCTTTCGTTTAAGGGTTTAGACATTTGTTGCTGTTTCTGTTTCACAGTTATTGTTTCAGGTATTTTATCTTACTCTAAGTCCCCTACAGAACGGATTAACGTAAAACAGATAACATAAAAATATGTACCTGGTGGTCCAATAAGCCGATCTCTCGGCTATATATCAGAAACTATTCATGTTATAACTTTAGGAAAAAAAATTCCTTAGTAAAAATGGCCAAGAGAAATCGCTGGAAATAACTTTCAAGATTCTGGATTAACCGCTAGGGGGCGTAACCTGCGAAGAAAATTTTGAAAACCAGTTTTTTGGGAAATATGTCCAATTATACCAAGTATTAAATAAGTAAACTAGAAAGGGGCATAAATTCTGCACAAAGTTGTTCAAGTACTTTTTTTTTATTTTTTTAAATAAAGGGTGGGGGAGAGTGGGAAAGTATTTGTGGATAAATACCTATAACTTTGGTTTGATCCAACCGATTTTATTGAAATTAGTGTCATTAGAAAGAGTGTGGATAAATTAATTCACATCTACTATAAAATACTTGAATTTAGTTTTCATAGTCGTAGGTAGAGGGGACTTTCAAATTAAAAAAATTAAAATTTGTTTTTCTTCAAGATTTTTAATGGAAACACCTATTTATTGTAAATTATAATGGAACTGGAATAAATTCGTAACAAAATGGAGTAAACCGCATGTTAATAGCTTTTGTTGAACTCGAGATATGAATAAAAACTCATAAACATAAGTAAGTATAGTATTGACACACCCTGTATTATAAATTACATTAAAAAATAAGTCAGTAGGTATTTTCAAATTTTTTTATAGCAGAAGAATCTTAATGTTGATACCTATTTTATAAAAAAGAGTATTTTCAAAACTAAGTAGGCTACGACAATGAATTTGACGGGGAGTTCATATTGTTTATTTATTGACAGCAGTCAAAACATTGTTAAGAAGTGCTATATTATAATTCGAATTAAAGATTGCACTTTTTTCAATAGATTATCAGTACAAATAATTCGTGATGAGTATATCAAATTGTATGATATGATTGGAGTTTATTTCGAATGTCACCAAAATGCCGCTATTGCCTCACGTATATATTTGTAAGATATCGTGACAGAACACATTATGGCAAAGAAGTATTTGAAAGAAAGGCGAAAAGATTAAAAGCAACTGGTAGTTTTTCTCGTCCTTGTTTTAAACGACGTAGTAGAGTTATGACCGAAGATAATTCAATCAATGTTCTTGCTTTAATTCAACAGAATCCACATATAAGTAGTCCGAAATCTCTACTTCTTTGCCACAATATCTCCTGCCAGGATATCTTACAGAATATATACGTGAGGCAATAGCGCCATTTTGGTGATATTCGAAATAAACTCCAATCATATCATACAATTTGATATACTCATCACGAATTATTTGCACTGATAATTAATTACTAATATTACCAATATTAATATCTATTGAAAAAAATGCAATTTTCAATTCAAATTATAATACATAATAACACTTCTTAACAATATTTTGACTGCTGTCAATAAATAAACAATATGAACTCCCTGTCAAATTCATTGTCGTAGCCTATTTAGTTTCGAAAAAACAATTTTTAATCATATGAAATAACAATGGTCAAAATAGGTATCAAAATTAAGAGTTTTTTGGTATAAAAATTTTGAAAGTACCTACTGACTTATTTTTTAATTTATTTTATAATACAGGGTGTGTCAATACTATACTTACTTATGTTTATGCGTTTTTATTCATATCTCGAGTTCGATAAAAGCTATTAACATGCGGTTTGCACCATTTTGTTATGAATTTAATCCAGTTCTATTATAATTTACAATAAATAGGTGTTTCTATTAAAAATTTTAAAGAAAAACAAATTTTAATTTTTTCTATTCGAAAGTACCCTCTACCTACGACAATTAAAACTAAATGCAATTATTTTATAGTAGATTTAAATTAATTCATCCATACTCTTTCTAATGACACTAATTTTGTTAAAATCGGTCGATCCAAACCAAAGTTATAGGTATTTATCCACAAATACTTTCCCACTCTCCCCCACCCTTTATTTGAAAAAATAAAAAAAAAGTACTTGAACAACTTTGTGCAGAATATATGCCTCTTTCTAGTTTACTTATTAAACACTTGGTATAATTGGACATATTTCCCAAAAAACTAGTTTTCAAAATTTTCTTCGCAGGTTACGCCCCCTAGCGGTTAATCCAGAATCTTGAAAGTTATTTCCAGCGATTTCTCTTGGCCACTTTTACTAAGGAATTTTTTCTCCTAAAGTTACAACATGAATAGTTTCTGATATATAGCCGAGAGATCGGCTTATTGGACCACCCGGTACAATAAAGAAAAATAGCATGTCTATAAAAAAATCTAAAATTAATATTTAGGTGATAAAATTCAGAATTAATCATGATTAAACTTTAGAGACTCTACAAAGAAAATGCGAATGGTATTAAATAACATATGTACTGCCTAAATGAAATTCTACGTAAATGTATTGAATATAACTAATAAATGTGACGATAATCTATTAAATTTATGTAAGTAATTGTGTCCAGTTTCCTAGATCCCAGTTTGGCATTATTAACAAATCTAATCATAAAGGCAAAGAGCACAAAATCGCAAAGAATTGAGAAGTTTAAGGGAAGCCTATGCACAGCAGTGGACGTGATAAATGAAGGCTGGATGATGGATCATAAAGGCTAAAGTTGTTATAAAATTTCACAAAATTGAAGAACCTAGTAGAAAGTGAGATGAAAAAATCTCTTTAATAATTTTGAGCGCGAAGAATGACTTTTCTTTCTCAAGTAATTTAGAGGTATAACCTTTTGTGTTGTATTTCAATAAATCTAACCGAAAATGATTTAAAAGGGTTTCAGATGGTTTTTGTCATAGTATAGTGCTAAGTTTTCTGGGGCATCTGTCAGTTTTACTTCGACTTCATTGAAGGTACTCCCCTTAGCTGCCACAGCTGTATCTTCCAGGTAAATAAACTATCTTGTTTGTTGGTTTTTGAGTTGGTCGTTGGTGTAAATGATGTATAATATCGGCGCGAGGACACTTCCTTGTGGGATTAAATTTTTTTTATCCCTCTACCGACTGTTCTTGGACGGGGGAGCGTTACGTAGAAGCGTCTATTCTGGAAAAGACATTGTAAATTCGTAAAATATACCAGAAGCCAGAAGATTAACTGTGTCACAGGCGGCAGTTAGGTCTAAGAACGCTACTCCTGTTATTTCTTTCCGTTCAAACCCATCTTCAATATGTTGGGTGAGATTAGGAGTTTGACTACAGCAACAGTTTCCGAGTCTAAACCCGGCTTGTTCAGGAATAATTTTGGCGTCCACAGATTCAGCGACCCGGTTCAGTATCATTCTTTCGAACGCCTTGAAAAGGTCACAAAAAAAGAGAGACAGGTCTAAATCTCTTTGTATCCACTGGATGTTTTTCTGGTCTTAAGAGGGCCACCACTTTAGCTTTCCTCCAGATTTTGGGGATTTGGAATGTACGGATGCAATTGTTCATCATTTTTACCAGCCACTTTATTGTCTTTCACTTTATGGATAGCACCTCTTATCTTCTCCAGACAAAAGGAGGTACCTAGAACATCCTCTTCTTCGTCGATATTTCGTTTTACTCTCACTTTGTTCTTCCTTAATGTCGTCTTACCATTCATCAGTAGACGATGGGCTATCTGATCGGATGTGACTTTTGTCAGATTGTCGTGACCAGCTTGCACCACCTGTCCGTTCTGTTGGCGGACATCGCATGTAGCACTTCCTCCCTAGCCTGTATTGTTGCTTTCGAAAAGGGATCGTCTTCATATAGCTGCTCGTATCGTTTAAGTAGGGGTTTAGATTGTAACGTTTAAAACGTTACATTTTATTCTTATTAATTTCAAAGTACTTTCCATTATTTTCTGCTCATACTATTTGATTTTCGTTGATAATAACTTCTTTTTCCTTTGTTTGTATTCCTATATTTCATTTCAATATTTTCCTATTACAAATAAATTCACCGATTAATTTCTTAAGTCCCCTCGTAGTTATACCTTCGCTTACTTTATCATACAAGAAACCGAATCCCCACCTCTAAATAATTTTTTCTATCAATCCGATCCGATTTAATTTCTTTTTAAAATAAACCAGCAAACGACAAGGTACTAAAAAATAAGTCCTCGTGGTCAGAAACTTCCAACTGTCTGGGTAAGAATACTTTGTTCTTTTTACAACGTACTAAAAAATAAGTCCTCGTGGTCAGAAACTTCTAACATATTTTCATAGATTAATCAAAAACATTAGCACTGTTAGTTTTCCGTACAATTTTGTGTACGCTAGTACTTAAAAACTGCTTACAATTTTTATTTTCTTTTTACCTTTGCTGTAATAATAATAATTCAATATAAATCACTGGTATTAATCGCACAACTTTGTCTTCTTCGTTTTTCATTTAATAATTTATCGATTAATTGCAATTATTAATTTGTGAATTTTGGCAACATCAGAGAGTTATGGACCGGTATACAGTTGTTAGAGAGAAGAGCTTTCCGCTTGCCAGAATTCTTCTGTTGTTGGACAAAACTCGTGCCATGACGAATTTTATATCCACTTTTGTTTT